CTATAGGATTTTTTTCTTGGTATTTTCATTTTTTATTTGAATATACTTCTTTAAAACAAGTGATTAAAATGACTTTATGGGTTTCTACTCTTTTATTAATATTTTCAGTTCCACTTATTAATATTCTTACATACATGTTAATATGTGGATTATGTAGTTCATTACGTTTATTTTATTTTGGTACTTATATTCCACATCGACCACACCTGATCAATGGAAAATTTGAAGAAACTATGCCATGGGAAAAATCAAAATCATCAAATGTAAATCGATTAATTAGTTTTTTATGTTGTTATCATTTTGATTATCATTGGGAACATCATCGATGGCCGTATGCACCTTGGTGGGATTTATGGAAATGTAAACAAATGACGAAAAAATTGAATCGCTTATAATGCGCATACGTTTCTTTTTGAGCATCATATATAATGAAAAGAGATACAAATTAAAAGTAAATTTGAAATCAATATGCTTAACTATAATTTTATTAAAATAAAAAACGAAGAAAATATTGTCTTCTGATTGACGTGTAGCATTTAAAAATTGTCACTTAAAAAATATATAAAATCTATTTATCTTTTTCCGTGATCGATTCAATCAGAACAGTACCAAACCATGATTTCTTCGGAAAAAGAATAATAAGTCGACCGATGACTACCAGTAAAATAAAACTGCCGAAACTTATTGATAAAAGTGTTCGATGTCTAGTAGATATTAATAGAGATGCAAGAAATATTTCACTGGTCAATAAACCCCAATAGATAAAACGACGAACATGTATCAAACCGGCTGTCAATGTCGGTGTATTATATTTTGATGGAACAGCAGCATACATTAAGCAAGTTATAACTAAAATCCATGAATTCCACCAAAGAATTATATGAGTAGCCAATGGAGTTATTTCATTGTCAGGTTTAAGAAGAAGTGTAAGAAATAATGATGGGTAAAAAAAGACAAAGAGAATAAGGCCAATATTTGCAGTAGCTTCAGCAAAGAAAAGAATACGAATAGGTTTATCGTTAACTAAACGAAGATGTTTTATATCATCAAGTGAAGTTTGTCTTGCCATTGACTTTAAAATTTGAATATGAAGAAAACTAAATGGAAATGCACTTTTTCTACAATGATATGAAATTAATTTTCTATATTTTATTTTTAGTAAAGGAAACAGAATTAATCATATCATGCTTGGCAACAAAAGAATCGTTGGTTTTTATTCTAAAATAGTTAAGATATTGGTTGTTAAAACACTGACTTGATAAAACATCAGAAACAAAGATAGTAGAAAGTGAACTTAGCATGTGAGCTGACAAGATGTTTGGTTACTTTTTTTTTAATTTGAACCAATCGAACTAAAGTCCTTAGTTTACCTTAACTCATATATTTTTCTTCTTTCATTTGATTGACAAGTAGACTCAACGAATCATTTTACTCAATTAATTATATACGCCTCTTTCTTCCTTCTTTCACTCACGGCTGTATATACTGAAAACGATTATTGTTTCTAATACTAATTTTAGCTATCAGAATTCTTTTATTGAGGCTGATATAAATTTTTCGTGTGTACTAATAATGAGTTTTCTGACTTTAATACGTCTTTTGTTTTTCATTTGGAAAGGTAGTTTATTTAGGCAAAAGTATGCTTTCATATCCTTGTTTTTAACCGAATGTTTACACAAAAAACAAACTGTTTAATTGTAATGAATCTTGTACAGATATGTCTTAATTCTCATACGGTAAACTGAACTTCCAGCTGGTCACGTCTCTCTTATTAGTTTGAACAGCGGCTAATAGCTTTTCTTATGCACATTGAATATGATGATAAATTTCTTTCATATGAAATTGAGTTATTGAAATTCTTACCTTAGCTTGACCAAGAAAAATCAGCATCTTAGTAAGTTTAACCATAATCATAAGATCTGACTACTACCCACGGAAAAATTCTTCCGAAAAAACCGCGATTTTGTTCCACATTTTGAAAAACCGCGAAAGTCAGACCGTTTATGCGGTTTTTTTAAACCGGTGAAAACCGCGGTGAGAACCGAGAAAACCGCGGTTAGACCTGCAAAAACTCAGCTCGGACTGCGGTTTTCTCGGTTCTCACCACGGTATTTGTAAACCGCGGTTTTCGCCGGTTTCAAAAAACCGCATAAACGGTCTGACTTTCGCGGTTTTTTCTTGAAAAATTTTTCCATGGGTAGATATTAGGTAAAAAACGATGTTATAGTAATTCATTGGCAAAAATAGAACATGTATTTGAGAAATGTGTTTAAATAAATGGATGAAGTTATTCATGCTGGATTATTGGCTTTTATACAATATATTTCATTCATAATTATACGAGTCATTCTAAATGATCGAAATGTAATACAAATTGTATCTAATTTTTTTGTGTCCTATTAACAATTCGAATGAAAACAAAGATGAGAAACATAATAAAACTCTTGAATCACTCTATTCACACAGCAGCCAATGCAGAATAATATGAATTTATAAGGAAACTCAATGTAGGAATCTAACTATAATGTTCGACAGAATAATTTTTATGTGTTACATTTATTACAGATATTTTGTTAATCTTCTGAAAGTTAAGAAATAGAAGCAGCAAGTGAATATAAAGTGTTCAAAAAATCATTGGATAGAAGCAACTTACATTTGTTCGATCAAAAAACTAAACGTTCATTATTCTACGTAAAAGTGTTATATTACATGCTATATCTTAGACAATATAAAAGAAATAATGTTAAATCATTTGTTAAACTTTAAAAAACCAATAACATGATTAATCAAATTGTGTTTTGATCAAATTGGTTAATTTACTTTCGGTCAGATATGAAATAAAGTTTGATGACTATAGAAATATTGTGTAAAAATAATCACATTTAGTATATCTATCATGTCATATTGTCTATAATACAAGTAATTATAATAAGTTTAGAAATCTTATTTGAATTTTTTCAGTGAAAAAAAAAACATCATAATTAAAATATTTTTTCTTTATTTTATCAATCTTATGACTTATCAAATCTGTTGTTCACAAAATGCATCAAAATTGAAATTTCAGACAACAAGTTTTTGAATTAAATGCACATTTGTCTAGATCAATGTAATTGAAATATTGATAAGTGATTCTGACATACTGTTCAATAGAGAATACTAAATCTAAGTTCATTATTAGAATACAAAACTATTATGAAAAAAAACAAAATACGTTTTTTGATGAATATCAGAATACTCATCAAGAACTTCATCACGTGTACGCCAGCAAATTGTTATCATCATTAATGTATAATTATATAAAGAATGTTGATAAACATTGAGAATGAACGAAGTTTAGATTGAAAACAAAAAAAAACAGAACCGAGTATTAAAATTATATGAGCGTTCTACTACTATGGCATATTCTTCATGGAGGTGAAATTTGGTTTGTTTTCGCATATATGCAAGCTAGACATAAACGAAAAGAATATGAATAGAATAGCAATATACTAACGGCATGCTCAAACTATGAAACTGGAGAAAATTAGCGAATAGTTATATATGTGTTTTATGCGTGCTATAAAAGAGGCAATATGATTAATGCAAGAAAAAAGTGGCAATAATTCATTATCGTTATCATTAATCATCATGATAACTTGAAAGATTTTATAAAGTATTTAACGAAAACATTTTAAAAAGAATGGTTTCATTTTTACTATGGAATGTTTGCTACATTTTTTTTTCATATTGAGAAAATGATTTGAGAGTGAGTTCAGCATTAGTGAAGATTTAATAAATTTTATGTGTAACTCTGAAATGTTTAACGTTTATATTATGTATATGGTCTACATTAGTACGAGTGGCATCATAGGTTGAATTTTAACAAAACAAAAACAATATCAACAAATTAAAAGTATTATTTATTACAGCAAAAAATAACTATTGTCGATGACAGAAATAAAAAAGTTTAACTCTAGAACGAATATCTCAAGAATAGAAGTAGATAGAGACCTGCGGTTTTCATCATTAAAAAGAGCGATGTTGGGGGCACCGATCGGTATAAGACTTGTTGGGTTCGGAGAGTTCTTTTATGGGTACTTTTGGATTGATCATTTTTTCGCTTCCTTTTTTCATCACTTTTCAGAGAAATTTCAGCACCAATAGTACCAAAACGTAGCTCCAAACACCATATGTTTCTATATAGGCCCCGTGCGATGGAGCAAAAGTTGGGGGTTGTAAGAGAATATGTTCGAAAAAATTCCGTAGAGATTGTGTGAAACGTAGGAAAAACTCTGCACCTTTCGCTGGAAAAATTCAAGAATTTTCAATTATTGGGGGGTGTATACCTCTCTACACTCCCTGCTCGCGCAGGGCCTGTTTCTATAAAAATGATCATGTTCTTTAAAAACCTCATTGAAGGAAAAGGTTGAACAGATAATAACGAAAAACATTTCAGTCCAAAAGTACCCATAAAAGAACTCTCCGAACTCAATGAATCCTAGATCGATCGATGCCCCCAACATCGTTCTTTTCAATGGTGAAAACTGCAGAAATCAAGTATACCAAAGTTCAAAATATTCTATTTACATGTAAAACTGATTAGATGTAAAAGGATTTTTTATTATTACATGTTATTTCAGTATAGTAAAACACATTCTCAGACACGAATATAAATACCATTAAGAATGATCACTAAGGAATTTTTTCTCTTTACTGTAACTTTTCATTCGTCATTGACACTTTATATTATTTAAAACAATTACATTAAACATCTGAGTAGTATATATGACAATATTAAACAATCAGAGGGAGTGGATGTTAGTATTAGTGTTAGTGCAAAGAGAAGATCTATAAACTAGGGTGTCAGTGGATAGGGTTAGGATGTGGGTGTGAAATAAGTAATACTTCGACACTCACACCCATCTATTTGAACTTCGTTGTTTTTAATATTTATTTTAAACGGAAAGAATATAATAGTATTTTCAATGAGTATCCTTATTTTGGATTTTATCTAAGTATAGTTAAATAAGTTTGAATGAATTGAGAACAATACTACCAACATGTGATGATATGGGTGCATGGAAATTATTACGATTTTCAATCAGTTGCTTCACAAATTTTAGTGGATTTAGTGTGAATTGAGCTTGGTTCATTGATAAATGACGGCTATGATTTAAATTACTCGCGAATCCGTCGATTGCAATCCAACCTTTTTCAAAGGCTGCTTCTTCGATAGGAGTTCGCGGTTGAGGACATAAACTTAAACATTGGCAAAAAGCTGTTTGTTCATCAGCTGTTTCAAAATAGAGAGTGCCGTTAAAGACAAACAATTGTACCAACCATTCTATTGGTATGAAGTAAGCGACAGTTTCATCAGAGAGCCCCATTGATGGCGGAATTGTGAGAGTTGGAGTATTGATAAAAATTGATTGAAGTCGCTTAATACGAGGTAATAATAAGCGTAATGTGGTTATCAATGATTTGTTAGATTTCAAGCAACCCATCAACCAATTAGCTTCAAAAGCGCTAATGAAAATAATATGTTGATTTCGATAGACGACAATCCATCGTGGAGGATGCAGAAATGGATTTAATGACTGTCCTTTAGTCTCAATCACACGCTGAAATTTAGTAGAAACCCAAAAATTTGATCGCCAACTGTTTGGTTGACAGTCATCGAAAAATGCTGTGTTAGTGAATGCATACGGTAGGGGGCGAAATACATTAGATAATCGTGCTAACTTCAATACATTACTATTTATGTCACATAATCGTTTGATTTCTTCGTGTAGTTTAGGACAGCATGGCTTGACAGGTAGAGAGTATGCGAATTGTCGTTCCTCTTCCAATTCATGTTCTAATTCTCGTTGTTGTTCTTCATCTAATAATTGAGATAGACGTTGTTTTGTTCCACCATATTTCTATAATCGTTTTAACACAACACTGTAAATATCTGTGGATAAATGATGACTAAATTGTTGATATCGGGCAAAATAAATTTTATCAATTGTCTCTAATACTTTCGTTGTACCATACATACGTTTTAATTCAATTATTTCTGGTTCCAAACATTCACTAACCAATTTTTTCATCATTTTATTGGTAATCAATTGTTGATGATTCTCTCATTGAATAGTCTGAAATGCGCTAACTTTTCGTTGAAAACTTAAACTTTGTGCAGCCCAATAATATAATTCATCCCAAGTCGATTGTTGTGTATTCTCATAAACCCAACAAAGAATATCAATTAGATTGATGAAAGTATTAATATTTTCTTTTTGATTTGCAATACATGCGTGTTTTTGGGATTTTATTATTTGTTGATGAACTTCATTTGAACTCCAAAATGTTAATGCATGACCTTTTCCTAATTTTCTCATTCTCATACACGCTTGAACAAAACGATCTTTTGTTAAACCATTTCCTAAAGTAACTGCAGCGTGAAATCCATTTGGAAATTTAAAGTCAGTTCCCCTGGTATGAATTTCATCTAAATAAAATACGCAACGATCTAGCCGTTCACTCGTAGGTGATGTTTCAAATCGATAATGATGGAGTCGACGATCACAAACAACAATTGAGTCCGAATCAAAATAAACGGCATAATCAATTCTATTTTTATTGAATTGATTTAACCATTTAACAGCTATATCTCGATTAGTTCCATCGATAAATAGTGCACCGACATCTAAAATAACGTTAATACTTTCTTTGTAGTTGATTATTTGATTTAAAATGTCTTCTGCGGTGGCATTAATTGGTAAATATTGATAACTTTCATTTTCAGGTTGTAATAAATGATTAACAACGATGGCACCAGTTTTTTGAAGTTCAGGTAAATCATACTGAAGAATATGAACTGGAAGTAATAATTGTGTATCATTAGTGGCACTAAATCCAGTTATTATTTTTGATCGTAAAGATGAAGATAAATCCCGAGCTGATGAAATTAATTTATGAGGAAATTGTTTAGCTCCTCGAGGAAAAACAAAATGATTTAAAAAATAATTGACAACTAACATTATTGCATTGTAGAGTCGGAGCGAGATCTTGGGTTCGTTGTTGGTAATCTTTTAAATTAACTCCTTTCCATTGTTTGATACTTGAAGGTACTCCATCTTGCTCTTCGGGTAGAATCCATAGTTCATAAATGGATGCAGGATCACTTTCTTTTTCACTTAAACGATCGAAACATTGAATTAATCGTGAATCATTTAAGCCAGAATAATAATATGAGAGTTGTGTTAATACTAAAGCAACATCAGGGTGACCGAATTCAGTTCTATCAGCAGCAACATCCTTTGCACGAAATGGTACAGCCATTAAGCGATTAAATGAAAGATTTGGTATGACGCCATAATTAACTCGATATCGTTTTTTCAAAGCTACTAACAGAACTTCTGATGATAGTAGACCACGAACGATGAGAAACAGTTGAATATCATGCTGAGGAAATTTATTCTCTAGATGCTCAACGGATAAATTTGTTTCTAAAATGAACGAAAAGATAATTTGTTTATCTTCATGTCGATAAGATTTTTGATTAAGCCAATCACTAGCTATAGTTTTACACAACAGTGAAAATGGTTCATGTGATTGTAAACGAAATTGCGGAAAAGCACTTTCTTGTTGAGATGGTTTGTAGCAAACTTTTTCACTGTAATGTTTTGAGATATCTGCAGCGTGTTTTTTGACTAACGAGGGAACCGTTTCAAGTGATTCACGCCGATTTTGCTTATATTTTGCCCATATGTAGGGGTCAGTATGCTAAGAAAAAGCCTAAGAGGATTTGGGCCCATGTTGCTTCTTTCGAGGGTTATGGCCATTTTACTGATTTTTCGGCCTATGACAAGGTATTTACAAAAAATTCAAATGACGAAATTATGTCTTGAAATTTTGCCCATATGTAGGTCTCNAGCAACATCAGTATCATCATATGGATGTAAACGTGTAAAAGAGCTTATTTCTCTATGTTGATTACAAGGCATTTGTTGAACATAGATTCTCGCGCTGGATTCTTACGGATTCTTCCATTCCATTTATAGTTTTCGACATAGTTTACAAAAAGAATTTTTAAATTTATTATCCGACCAAGATATTTTATCTGATTATCGATAATAGTCATAAATTTTATTGTAACTGTGGAAACAGCAATCACATTGATTGAGTAATATTAAGTTGCGACTTCTATGCATACAATGATTAATCAAGTAGAACAAATATCCTCATGTGATACACGAGAGTCATATACATCTATTTTTCTCGCATGTGTACAGTTATTTGTTTTTCCCTCACATATTCAATATGCTGACTGCTATTTTACTGTACAAATGCATTTTTTTAGATATAAATAATACACATGCAAGCCATAAAATGTCGATTACCAATTAACTCATCACGACTTGTGACTACTGCTGGTGTCATTATAAGAAGAGAACACAAAGAATATTCATCTTTAACAATAGAAAAACTTAATCCACTTGTTAAAGAAGTGGAATATGCTGTAAGAGGTAAAAATATTTGTTTTTTTTAATTTTGTTGAATTCAATCATTATTTCCTATTATTTTTAAATCATAGGTCCGATCTTGATTCGCGCTGGAGAAATTGAAAAACAATTGAAAGTAATTCGTTTTCTTTTTTTTTTTCATCATCATATTTTGAAAATCATGTCTACACAGCTATATCTTCATTTGAATAACGTGATTTATTTTCATTCCGAGCAAAAAGAAAGTAAATCTATTACTTCGATTAGTCACTTGATATGTATGTATAACGAGCACCTGTAAGAATAATTATCAGTATTAGTAGTATAAGAGCAATTTTATGTTTTGATGATGATTCAAACATATGTTAATTGTAAATATCTATAATGTCATGGAGAAAGAAAAAAAAAGAACAAAAAGATACATAAAAAACGGTTCACCATTAATACATTTTATTTCGATGAGAATCACTATTCCCTATTGATCGAAGTGTCATAAAATTTATGGGGATGGATCATAAAAAAAACTAACGATGGAAATTTTAAATTCATGTGAATTGATGTTGAATATGCTGTTCAAGATCCAATTGTTATTCGTGCTACTAATATTGAACGAGAAATTAAGTTGGTTTTAGTATTATTTCAAGAGACTATTATTGTTGGGTTTTTTGTAGGGTAATCATAACTTTCCGTTTGACCGTGTTATTCGAGCTAATATTGGTAATTGTCATGCTAGTGGTAATCATGTACATATTACATATATTCGACAAGTTCGTATTACAATTGATTGTATTTTGAAATAAAAATTTTCTTTATTTCCAGTTCGTAGCTGGTTGTACTTATCCAGAAGTAATGAAGTCACCTGATTTTCCATCAGATATAAAAAAAACGTGTTGAATGTTTATTATCTGTATGTGGTGGTAAAAGTCTTGGTTCATATACTGAAAGCCAAGGTATTATAACAATACGCGAAGATATTGCAAATTATATTCAACAACGAGATGGTTATCCATCAGATCCAAATAATATTTATCTTTGTAATGGAGCTTCAGATGGAATTAAAACTATAATTAAACTTCTAATGAATCATAATCCAAAAAAACCATCAGGAATTGTAAGTCTGAAATAGAGTACTGCACGGGTATTAAACTATTCGTACTTATACCCAGCAAATCTCGCAATTATTTTTAAAAGTGGAAGCGACTAAAAATTTGACAAACAGTTGGAGGCAGTCTAATTCGCAGAAAGCAGTTCTGAAAAGCTGTCTCATAAAACTTGGTAGACAGTTTTAAATGGAGATGTATGGTACCCAAGTACTCGACCAGTGGATTACTATACTGTAGTCTGAAAGTGACAAATAAAAATGAAATGATTTGCTTTATTTAACCAATAGATGATTCCTGTTCCACATATTCCATTATATAGTGCTACTTTATCAGAATATGGAGCTCATCAAATTGATTATTATCTTGATGAAGATAATAATTGGACATTGAATATAGATGAACTTGAACGTGCATTAAATGAATCGAAAGATCGAAGTGCACCATGTGGTATTGTAATCATTAATCCTGGAAATCCTACTGGTAAAATAATGTAAATCTATTTTATTTTATTTCAAGTATATATTTTTTTTTTGATTAGGTCAAGTGCTTTCAAGTGAAAATATTAAAAATGTTATTCGCTTTGGTAATCTTTGCTTTTTTTTTTATAGATGAATAATTGTTCTTGTTTTTTTTTATTTAATTTTTAGCCCATAAACATCAATTATTTATTTTGGCTGATGAAGTTTATCAAGAAAATGTTTATTTACCAGGTTCAAAATTTTTTTCTTTTAAACAAGCACTTATGGATCTTGGCGCACCATATAATCATATGGAAATGGGTATTGAATATCTTATTTTTTGTTTTTCTATCTCAATTTTCGTTTTTTCTTATCTTCCAGCTTCATTTCATTCAGCTTCAAAAGGTTGGCATGGAGAGTAAGTTTACATTGTTTTGACAGAGAAAATTTTTTTTTTTACAGATGTGGTTCTCGTGGTGGTTATTACGAATTAATTAATGTTGATAAAGATGTCAAAGTGCAAGTTAATAAATTCATATCCGCATATCTATGTTCGACAACTTGGGGTCAAGCTGTTATGGCAGCAATTATAAATCCACCAAAAGAAGGAGAACCATCCTATGAACTTTATAAACAAGAACGTTTAACAGTTGTTAATCGATTAAAAGAAAAAGCTGATCTTGTTAGTCGATTATTTAACTCAGTTGAAGATGTACGGTACAGTGCTATTATTGGGTTAGCTAATACAAAGACATTTTTTAATTAAAATAAATTTTATTCTTTTAGTGCAATGTATGCATTTCCACGTATTGAAATACCTAAAAAAGCAATTGAATATGCTAAATCAAAAAATATGGCTCCAGATGCTTTTTATTGTTTTCGATTATTAGAGAAAACTGGAATATGTGTTGTGCCAGGAAGTGCTTTTAAACAACGACCAGGAACACATCATTTACGTACAACAATTTTACCACCTGTTGATCAAATGAAAGATATGGTTGAAAGATTTCGTACATTTCATATGTCATTTTTACGTGAATGGAAATAGTTTTCATTTCCTCTTCCATTTTCTTAATATTTTCCTTCCAAAAAAAAAAAAAAACAGAAACCAACATCATGCTTCTTTCTGTAGAACGTAAAACTTATTACTTCCGGTGTTTGTTTTTTTNTTTTTCAACATTGACTAGCAAACGTGTTCCGCAATATAATGAGTATAGCTGTCTATATGAAAACCACCACTCTCTGCTTCGCCATTTCTTTTTCCAGATTCTATCACCACCTCACAGACAGTAAAACTCCATAAAACTACGTCAAGTGCCCAGGCAGTCCGAAAAGCCAAATTGACGCGTTACAACAACCGTTATCTGTTCTCTCTTTGCACGCATTTTACACAGTCGAAAATGTCCGAATTTTGGCGTTTTAACAGTGGATATAATCTTGAGTTTCACATTGTTAAAACAAGTTGAAACATAAGAGTTTGAACACGTTAATAAACTAATCACGTTAAAACGCAAAAAATTGAACACTTTTCATACGTTTAAACGTAATCAACGTAGACCTTTTTACGCTAGTGCAGTCCTTATGTTCTTGTTCAACGCATTGTTATTTGTTTACGAGTGCTTTAATGTAGATTCGCCCAAGAAATTTACACTTACGATTACGAGGCAGCCAATATACAGTTTCACTAAACTTACTCATTACTACATGAATTAAATTTTATATTTATATGAAATAAAAATTACATGCATAGACCTACAGCTTGCACGAATAATAGAAGTTGATCCATTTTTAAAAAAATCGGAAAACATCTAACTTCATTAGTTTCTTGTGTGATAACACAGCTATTGTAAGTGAACTATTTTTATCTGAATTGAGTCGAATTTTTTTTATCAAAATTGTGATTGAAATCAAATAAATTTGTAAAAACAGATTTATATGAGTTTACTCGATTTTCAATAGATTTTAATCAGATTATTAATGACATGATTTGAATGCTAATCTATTAAAATCCCTACCAATCAGAGTATGTAGTTTTTAGTCAACTTTAAAAATTTAATCGATTTTAATGATCATTACGTTTAGAAATGCAATTGAAGTTATGCTGTTTTAATCGATTATGAAGCAGCAAAAGGATGAGGAAAATTAGATCTACTCCACTTTTCTGTACGCGAATGTCGATTTCGGGTACGAATAAAAACATGATTTGTAAATTCGAAAAAGTCACATTGCTATAAAACTTGACAAAATGAAAATTCTATAGTTATAATAAATCATATTCAAATTCGATTGTAAATCTAGCTATATTTAGTTGTGGATGTAGGTATCACACAACTGTTGCCTGGCAATAAAGCAAATACCATAGCAGATATTTTATTCACATATGATAATGTAAAATTCAATGTTGACGCAGATAAAAATAAATTTGATACAATTCAGTAAAGAACTGCGACGAAAATTACAATTTTTTAAATTTTCTTCGAAAATTATTTATTCAAACATTTCAAGCTTTCGACAATTTACAATTGTCATCATCAGGAAATGATAAGAAAGAAACAAAGTTAAGCTATATATATAAGAATACAAAAAAAACTCAATAAAAAGGAACAATATGATATATTAGTACATGAAAGAGAATAGAGTTACACTTTGAATGCATTCAAAGTGTAACTGTGTTCTCTTTCATGTCTTTCATGTCCTAATATATTATATTGTTCCTTTTTATTTATTTGTTTTTGTNATTGCAGCCCTTTCTATACAAGTATTCCAAAAAGAATTCGCCTTCTTCCTTCTCCATGTCTTTTGGTATTTTGTGGTTTGCAAAGCAGAAATAAGAAATAAAGCTTTTCTTTTTTACCAGTATATAGTCCTTACTTCAAACTAGATTCCTTACACAAATCATCAATTTTGTCTATCATCTCGAAACACGAAAACGTTTCTCATGAAAATGTCCAGTTTTCCACTGTGTTAATTGCTCGCTTTTCTGACATCAGAATTATATTATTAACACATCACTACAACAAGCATATACTGGTAAAAAAAGACAAGCTTTATTTCTTATTTCTGCTTCGCAAACCACAAAATACCATAAGACATGGAGAAGGAAGAAGGCGAATTCTTTTTAGAGTACTTGTATAAAAAAGGCTGTAATAAAAAGCCCAAACTATTACACAATCACTTCGTAAACATTATTTTTTTTCTTTTTTGTACTGCTTCATATTTATATTGTGAAACAACTTCTCAGTCAACCCATTGAATAGGCGAAAATAAAAATAGTAATTGTTTAAAACAGATATGGTCTTAATACACGAGATAGTTCAAAACATATGATCACACATTAAATGTGTTGTTCAACGCCTGAAGACTATAGCAAAACTGACAGAATTTCGGTCATTTCCTACTTTTTTCGATAAAATATAGGTAAAATAGGAATTTTAATCGAGATATAGGACAAAATAAAGGATCTTTCAAAAATATAGGCATTATAGCAAATATAGGTCGAATCGCACCCCATAATTAGTAACCAATTAGAAAGTGAGAACAATAACTTAGCGAAACGTATAAGACGAAATAAATAGACAATAAACAATATTGTCACAATCTATTATTATTCATGATTGTCTGCAATCGAAATGATAAGACAAATCACGTTTCATTTTCCCTCGACAAAGTTATTCCACTTTATATTCTGAAATCTCGGTTTTCCGCTCAAAACAAAAAACGAAATCTTTATTGAAAATTTAAGGAAAATACTACATGCAGGGGTCTGCCTGGCCTGTCTAGCTACCCAAGCAGTCCGAAAAGCCAAATTGACGCGTTACAACAACCGTTATCTGTTCTCTCTTTGCACGCATTTTACACAGTCAAAAATGTCCGAATTTTGGCGTTTTAACAGTGGATATAATCTTGAGTTTCACATTGTTAAAACAAGTTGAAACATAAGAGTTTGAACACGTTAATATACTAATCACGTTAAAACGCAAAAAATTGAACACTTTTCATACGTTTAAACGTAATCAACGTAGACATTTTTACGCTAGTGCAGTCATTATGTTCTTGTTCAACGCATTGTTATTCGTTTACGAGTGTTTTAATGTAGATTCGACCAAAGAAATTTACACTTACGATTACGAGGCAGCCAATACACAGTTTCACTAAACTTACTCATTACTACATGAATTAAATTTTATATTTATATGAAACAAAAATTACATGCATAGACCTACAGCTTGCACGAATAATAGAAGTTGATCCATTTTTAAAAAAATCGGAAAACATCTAACTTCATTAGTTTCTTGTGTGATAACGAATCGATTGTAAATGAACTGTTTTTATCTGAATTGAGTCGAATTTTTTTAATCAAAATCGTGATTGAAATCAAATAAATGTGTAAAAACCGATTTATATGAGTTTACTCGATTTTCAATAGATTTTAATCAGATTATTAATGACATGATTTGAATGCTAATCTATTAAAATCCCTACCAATCAGAGTATGTAATTTTTAGTCAACTTTAAAAATTTAATCGATTTTAATGATCATTACGTTTAGAAATGCAATTGAAGTTATGCTGTTTTAATAGATTCTGAAGCAGCAAAAGAATGAGGAAAATTAGATCTACTCCACTTTTCTGTACGCGAATGTCGATTTCGAGTACGAATAAAAAAATGATTTGTAAATTCGAAAAAGTCGCATTCCTATAAAGCTTGACAAAATGAAAATTCTATAGTTATAATAAATCATATTCGAATTCGATTGTAAATCTAGCTATATTTAGTTGTGGATGTAGGTATCACACAACTATTGCCTGGCAATAAACCAAATACCATAGCAGATATTTTATTCACATATGATAATGTAAAATTCAATGTTGACGCAGATGAAAATAAATTTGATACAATTCAGTAAAGAACTGCGACGAAAATTACAATTTTTTAAATTTTCTTCGAAAATTATTTATTTAAACATTTCAAGCTTTCGACAGTTTACAATTGTCATCATCAGGAAATGATAAGAAAGAAACAAAGTCAAGCTATGTATATAAGAATACAAAAACAAATCAATAAAAAGGAACAATATAATATATTAGTACATGAAAGAGAATAGAGTTACACTTTGAATGCATTCAAAGTGTAACTGTGTTCTCTTTCATGTCTTTCATGTACTAATATATTATATTGTTCCTTTTTATTGATTTGTTTTTGTATTCTTATATATATAATTTAACTTTGTTCCTTTCTTATCATTTCCTGATGATAACAATTGTAAATTGTCGAAAGCTTGAAATGTAAAATAAATAGTTTTCGAAGAAAATTTAAAAAATTATGATTTTTGTCGCAGTTCTTTATTCAATTATATCAAATATGATCATGTTTACCGATGAGAAACGTACTCTATGTAGCATCACATTGATCAATTAAAACTTATTCATTACAAATCTTTGATCTAAAAGCTTGCTTTTCGAATTATAGCTGATCTTGTATTTTCTCCTGTTCACAAATCTATATTATCATTCAGTACTCAACGAAAGTGGAAGTGCCTACTATTAATGAATTTATAGTTATTTACCTTACTACAAATGTACTTTGCTATAGCAGAATACTGTATAGATTAGTTAGAACGAGCGATTATTCTGCAATTTGTTTTTTTCTATCAACGCCCTAAAAGAGACGATTATTCATGTTAAAATGCATTCATTTGTTTAATTCTTCTATTGAATGCGTTACAACATGTCACTTGCCTTAATATGCTTTTTCACTCCGATAAAATGCGTCAACGAAAAGTTAAACGCGTTGAAACTCGTTTATTTCTTTCATTTGTCGAGTGAACGAGTTATTAACCGTTGTTTTCTTCTGTTTTCGCCTCCAATGCGTCAAAACGGCGTTTTAGCGTTTATCTGTCTGCCTGGGTAGTGACAGATTCGATAGCCCGTTTGAAACTCTGATATCTAGTGGAAGTTGGTATAACTTTTCAATAGCTATCTAGAGATGGTCCATAGGACTGTTCAAGGTTATCTAGGAATAGTCACGAACTACACCTGAATGGTCTTTGAAACGTTCGCAGTATCATACACCAGTAGCGCTCAAAAGTTATAAGAACCACTTCTAGATAAACCCAGAAAAGTTTGCGTAGTGTCACATATCTTGAAATTTCGCCCATCTCCTGCGAGAAATATGATACACCTTCAAATTTTGAGATATATAATACTACTGAAAAGTTGTGAGACTACCCTAAATACTCCTTGAAAAGTTATAGGAGCTATTCCTAGATAGCCGCTGAAATGTTCTAAGAACCACTCCTGGATACATCTTGAAAAGTTATCAGGATTATCCTTAAATATTGTTTGAAAAAACTTTACAGTTTTACAAAGAACAGCTTATTTTATTTTTCTATGTTTCGTTTTCAAAATGATATAAATCCTGCGCGATCAATTTTCGACGCTGCGAACAAGATCATTTATTAGTATACGACAAAGTTTTTTGCTTTTCATCGATTTCGAAACCAAAAGTGTAACTATAAAAAAATTCTGACTAATGTCAATTGTAGAGCTTTTCACGCTGCATCTTTTGGTATATTTCGTCTTTTTTTAAGGATCCCACCTCTCCACTCCTCTCTCAGAAATGAAGTCCTACTTGGTACCCACCGTTTGGGCTGAATTTTTCAGGGATGATTGGTCTTAGTGAGAAACGCTTGTGATAAAAATTTCAGCTTGACATGTCCGACTAAATCGCAGTTTCGACTGGTTTTTCTACCTCCCAGGAGAATCAAAATAACTCCGTCATTAGAAGGGATACAGAGCTCGGATTGGTTTCAAATTGTAGCTAGCCTCTGTACGCAACTTTTCATCAGTCGGATTTTTGAAACTCTCTTCCATTCATTTTTTATAAGCAATTTTGTGGACATGTTTGAAAAATAAGCATAAAAAAGTGTCATTCTAAGACAGTAAATCTCACTTTTCTCAGCCCCAAGATTCAATATCAAAAATTTACGCACTGAATACCTTTAAAAAACATGGTGTTTTAGTTATTTAACGGTATAAATTGCATGAATATTTGTATTTAGGATATTTGTGCAGTTAAGGTTATCTATAATTACTGATAATTATGGGTTCTCCCTTAATAGTTCAGGTAATCAGCATATTTTATTTAATGAATTCGCACATGGATCGGGTTCGTAACATTTCTCGAGAAAGAATCGTCGCTCTCAAAGAGATATCTTGTACTACAAACATCGTCCACGCATGAAAAGTGTAAGAAATATTCTGATCGACTGATCGTATTTGATGAATAATATGGAGTGTATTTTTCCGCACAAAAGGTCAACAAGGTCGCTTATCTCCAACTCATGTGTTCTTTTTTTCTTTGTCTTTCTATTTGGTACAATGACGTCATGATTTCTCTCTTTTGTTTTCTGTCATATGTTCTTTCCAGAATCTAGCACTGAGTCTGAAGACTATTCATATGACGAAAGTTGTGATGAAGATGAAAGTAATAGTGATTTGGAAGAAGAATTCATAGATGTGTTTGGAAAAATATCTGCTACATCCAGAAACTGACGAAGAGGAAGTTTCAAACCTCGTCTATTTAGTTTTGATTCAAGTGGATGTGGATTATCTTCAACCATAATAAATCTTACTCGTGAAACACCACTTGATTTCTTTGAACTATTTTTCGATCCCAAACTACTTGAAATGATTGTTGACGAAACAAATCGTTTTCATAGAAATTCTGCACGCATAGGCCAGAGTCATGCAGCTCCATGGATCGATACAACAACTAACGAAATATATATATTTTTAGCTACAGTTATGTTAATGCCTCATTTGAAAAAAAACCGTATTCGTGATTATTGGTCAACAGATCGTCTCATCGCAACACCTATATTTGCTGAACTTTTCACCACAGATCGATTTAGAGCTTTACTTACTAACCTTCATTTCTGTGATAACCAAAACCAAATATCTGGAGATAGTCTATATAAAATCCGACCAATTATTGATGAATAAAAAAAAAGATTTTTCTGCTGTTTGAGTTCGTATAAAAACCTTTGTATTGATGAAACTTTAGCTGTGTGGAACGGTCGGTTATATTTCAAACATTATATACCATCAAAACGTCATAAGTTTGGAATTAAACTGTTTATACTTTGTGACTGTAAAATAGGTTTTATAATTGATTTCATAGTTTATTATGGTTCTAAAACGTCATTCATTATTTGTAGACAATTATTATACCAGCCCCGCTTTATTTGAATATCTTCATCGATATAAAACAGGAGCATGTAGGACTGCTAAAAAGAATCGAGCTGATTTACTGACCTTTGAAGAAATAGAGGGACTTGACGAGCAAGTTTTTTATCACACTGACAATTTACTTGCATTAAAATGGAAAGACAAACGTGATGTCACAATGTTATCCACATTACATGAATCAATTATGGTTTCAACAGGAAAAGTTGACTTTGTACCGCAACAAGAGAAAATAAAACCTCTTTGTGTTAAAGAATACAATAAGAACAGATGTTTGGTTGGTATTTATAGTATGCAAATAAGCTTTTCAGAGTGCATTCATCGGTCAGAAAAATAGTACAAAAAGTTCTTCTTTCATTTAATAGATCTTACAATTTATAAGGCATATGTTTTATATAAACTGAAAAAAATGTCAATCTTCATTTGGCTGCGTATTAACTTGAGCTAATTCGAGAGATTATCGGAAAATATGGTAGCCAGGTGCGAACTTCAATTGGTCGACCATCTTCTGAAAACCCACTTCGACTTACAGCAAGATATTTTCCTTCGCGCATTGCATCAACAGTCACGCAAGCAACACAGAGGAGAAAGTGTTACGTTTGTGCTCATACTATGAGGAGAGACAAGTCGAGAACAGATGCATTGTATGAATGCATTGAATGTGATGTAGGGTTGTGTGTAACGGATTGTTTTAAAGGTTATCATACTCTGAAAGTATTCTGAATTATGTATTTGGTCATATTTTGAAAAAATAAACATTGATTTGAAATTATAAATATTTTTTGTTTTTAAAAACAATTCCGGACTCAAAGGGTTAATACCTGTGGTATATCAGACATTTGCTACCTTTCAACGGCAAAAACGCAATCGATAGACAAAGAAATGACCATGGAAAGTCAAAAACGAACTACTCTACATCTACCATCGAATTTCTCTCGTTATTTCAAATAGGACTCTTTCGACCTGCTGGAAGATTTTTCTTTTCTCATTGTATTACTTTATAGGGCCCCTTTAAGCCCTGTGGAAATCTCTTATGTTATGTTAAGTTTTTAAGTTTTTTGTAGTTTCTGTAGATTGTGATGAAGTCAAGTAGTAACTTTACCGAAACTAGTCAATAAACTCCACAAGAACCAAAAACTTTTACATTTTATATTTATTTTTTAACTTGAGCGAGTGCACTAATAATAAAATATTTAGGTTATATCAGAATCAGAATAACCAACTACTTTTTATTCGTAAAAGTCAATTTTCTTTTATTTTTTATTTCTTGTTTACGTTATCCTGATCGTTTTCCAGCACATTATGAGACAAATCGAATAATTAGCGTTCTTCCCTTTTCGTTTTCTTCATTAAAGTTATCCTGGTAGATTTTCTACGTCTTATGCGACAAATTACATACGAATGTTTTCTGTACTTTTTTCCTTTTCATTAAGTTATTATGGTAGTTACTCAGAATTCTATAAGAGAGCTAGAATAAAAGCTATTAGGCTAGGACTATTTTTGTTTATAGATATTTATTCCACTGCTATGGATAGATGACTGGATGCTATCGAGTTTTCCATTTGTTTACAACGGATTTTGAACCATCAACAATGGTCAAGTAACCGTGCCATAAAGATTATCAACTTGTTAAACAAAGGTGTTCTTTTACCGCCTTTGAAGCTTTCGTAAGAGAGTGATTATTCTGAACGCTTATTTGCGCCCCGTCATAACCCTTTGCATGGATTGGCATCTGTCGTGATCCCTTGTTTGTAGCATTTCATAAACTCTTGAGAGCAGGGGCATACCGAAGGGGGTCTATGGGACCCCGGTCCCCCTCAACCTTTGAATATCCACTGAGTATTTAAATTCTATTGAGTAATTTCCTGTCATTTTTATCTGTTCACGATAGAAAATGGGGGTCAATGATGCAATATCTACTATTTCATTACAAAGTTTACTGAATTATCAAATTATTCTAGATTAGTTCTGCAGTAGGTCGTCCACCGAACTACAAAACGAGCGAGAAATGCTTATTCTCTATCATCGATGCCTTCGATCGAGTCAAAAAACGGCAGTGTTCAGAAGTTACACCGTGCAATACAATCAATGTTATTGTGTATTCCACAGCCATGACAACGAATGACTGTGAACGAGCTTCTGTAGGAGAAGTTACGATATCTTCTGAGCCATCCACTAGTGCAACTGAAGTCATCAATACTCAGTCAGATCTTGTATTACAGCCAAACTCAGCCGACATTTGCATTGCCACTGATTCTAATAGTGTCTACGACCAGATGGTAAAATCTTTGGTCTTTATGTATTATGATCTATTGTAGTCTTGTTTATTTTAGGATATCGGTTTATATAGTGAAACAAACCTCTATAAAACGAATTCATCACTTGCATACAAATTGTTAATGCATAATTGGATCCCGCCGCATTCGTTCAAGTTTCCTTCAATCACATTCAATGGTCATATGAGATCAGTGTGTGTGCCAAGCTGGTTATCCATCTATCCGTGGCTATCCTACTCAACCAAGTTGGAAAGAGTTGCATGCCGTTATGGCGTGTTATTTGGCCGAACCACATCATCATCTGACCATGCGCGCAGTGCTCTTAGGCAGTTGGTTTCGAAACATTTAAGGTCACTGCAGGATGCTACTTGGTATCTACGAGGTGAGTATTTTATCAGGACCTATAAATAACGGCTAGAAATTGTGATAATTAAGGCAGGTTGACATCTGATAGGGAATGCAATATATTTTGGGATACATTAAGAATTCGTCTTCACAGCTTAGAAATTATGATTTCAAGCAATAACAAAAACAAAGTTAAATTTCTTTTCTAGAACATGGACGAACACAATATCATCTCGATTCAACTGCGCAAGCAGACGAATACATCTCCCGATATGCTGATCCTTCAAAAGATATTGATCATCTTCTTGAGGGTGGCTGATGAAATGCAACAAGCTGAGAATTGAAAAATTCTTGTCAATATTGTGCGATGTCTTATTTTCCTAGCAAAACAAAATATCTCTTTTCGAGGCGACGATGATGACAGTATTCCTGAAGAGAATAATCGAAGCCAAAGAAACTTTCATAACTTAATTCTGTTTCGGATAGAAGCAGGAGATTTGATGCTTAAGAGACATTTGAAAGATTGTTCTAAAAATGCTACTTATTTATCACCAAGTAAGTTAAGTTGCATACTTTATTACTTGCTAAACATTGAAATCTATATCATGAGAGAGTAAATAAATACGAAATCTACAAAAATAGTAATATCATGAGGTGCTTTCTGATCACTTTTTGGCAATGTATTTCATTGAAAATTCATTATACATCACAAGATTTTACTGAGGACTCTGATGAGTAGTATAGAGCAATAAAATTTGAATATATCTTTTATTTAGAAGTACAAAACAAACTCATTAATTTATCTGCTACCTATCTGCGAATACAACTACTTCAAGAACCGATCGAAACGAACAAATTTTATTGTATAATTGTCAACGAAACAAGCGATGTTTCTGTCATGAAACAGCTATCTCTGGCGGTACGATATGTATCAGATTCTCCTTCAATCGTAATCAAAGAAAATTTCCTGGGTTTTGCTTCATTGCAAGATTTGACTGCTCAAGGAATATTTAATGTTTTGTTCAATATGATTCGTTCCTTTGGTGTGAAACCAGAATTGATTAGAGGTGAATATACAAATGGCTCATTGGTGAAAACTTTTACCGTAGCCTTCTGATAATCGCAAGTAGGGATCAAACTTGATCGAGGTGAAAGCAATTACAGTGGAGAACATCTATTGTTTCTCACAACAGTTTCTAATGAATAGTGTTTGAAGGATTTTTCAATATTCACATCGAAAAATAAAGAAAATAAAAATTAACCAAGTGATGAAATAGTCGATCTCTTTCTATAAAATAACTGTATTGTTCT